AGGGAAGGGAAGGGAAGGGAAGGGAAGGGAAGGGAAGGGAAGGGAAGGAAAGGGAAGGAAAGGGAAGGAAAGGGAAGGAAAGGGAAGGAAAGAAAAAAAAGAAAAGAAAGAAAAGAAAAGAAAAGATCTTACATAAGCTATCATATAACAAAATGTTAGAAAACCTTTAACAAAGATCCTAAAAGTTTCCAGAGGAAAGAAGAGATTATATATAAAGAGTTAGAAATGAGAATAGCATTGAATTGATCAACAGCAGCACCAAAAACTTTAAGGAAGTGATACCTTGGGATGGCTGAGGAAGCAGTGGTACCAAATCATCCATCAAGTTAAGAGTAGAACACAGACTTTTAGAAACATTTAATGTCCCAAAACGTATCTTCTACACATCCTCACTTAGGAAGCAATTACAAAAGAAAGGAGTAAACAAGCAAATGAAAGTGGAACATAAAATACATGCACAGCCCGGAAGCCTCTGTATGTATTCTAAATATTAGTCCATCAGGTGTTTGCATAATTTCTGTGGTTTCCTTTGTCATTGATTTCTTGTTTCATGATCTGATAATATGCTTTTGATTCTTTGTATTTATTTCAGAATTATTTAGGAGCTAGTACAGTAGGTGGTCAATTTCAGATAGTTCTGTGTGCTGCTGAATGTGTATTCTGCTGTTGAGTGGAACACTATAGATAGCTACTAAGTATATTTGTTCTAAGTTGTGGTTCAACTCTGATATTTGTTTGTTGATTTTTTTTATCTAGTTGATCTATTTGTGATAGTGGGTTATTGAGGTCCCCCTCTGTAATTGTGCTGAATGTTTATTTGATCTTTTATGTCCAGGAATGTTTATTCTATTTATTTTTGTTTTTCTGAGACAGGGTCTCACTGTGTAGTTTAGGCTGGCCTTGAACTCAGGGCAATCCTCCTGCCTCAGCCTCCTGAGTGCTAGGATTACAGGTATGTGTCAACATGCCCTGCTTTAGTAGTGTTCATTTTATGCAGTTGGGTACATGCATATTTGGTGCGTATATACTTATAATTTTTATCTCTTCCTGTTTAATTGTTACCTTAATCAATACATTGTGAACTTCACTTCTGACCAGTGCTCACTTGTTTTGAGGCATCTATGGAATGGAGTATTGTTTTCCAACCTTCAAATTTTAATCTATGAATTTCTTCTTAAATTCATTGTGCTTCTTGTATATAGCATACTGTTGGGTTTTGTTCTCTGATGTGATCTATTCATCAGTGTCTTTTGACTGGGGAGTTCAGACCATTCACATTGAGTGTTATTACTGAACAGTATTGACTCATTCCTGTCCTTTCTTTTTTTTTTTTTTTTTTTTTATACCTGTCATTTCTTTACTTGCCTGTTGCTGATTGCTTTTTGTTCTTCCCTCTCTGCTTAACAGTTTACCCAGCCTGGTGTACCCATTCCATTAGATTTTTTGGCATTGTTGGCTTTGTTGTCTCTTTCTAGGATTCTTTGAGAATTTTTTGGAGTGCTGGGTTGGTGGTCATGAATTTAAGATGCTCTTTTTCATTGAAAGACCTACTTATCAATTTTGAAAGATAGTTTTGCAGGATATATTAGCCTAGGTTAGAAGCTGTTTCTTTGAAGGCTTGATAAACTTCACTCCAAGATTTCCTGACCTTTAACATTTGTGTTGCAAAGTCTGCTGTGATCATAATGGGCTTTTCTTTTAAGTGACTTTTCTTTAAGAATGTTTGAAAGTCTGTTTTTGGACATCTGAGATTTTGACTATGATGTGTCATGGAGAAATTCTTTTCTGATTATGACTATTTGGAGTTCTATATGCCTTGCTTGTCTGTATGTTAAATTCTTTCCCCATTCTTTGGAAAGTTTTCTGCTATTATTTCTTTTTAAAAAAATTTTTTTTTATTTTAAAGAGTAAAAGAAGGACAGTATAGCAATAGGGAGATTCACCGAATTATGGACAAAGTGGTAAGACATTTTCAGTGGTTGTTATTTTACCTATTGGTATCTTCTAGATAGTTTCTCAGGAAAACAGATAGACAAATAATAGTGAGTTACAGACAAAAAGGGCAGGAAATTATTAATGGTTGTTAAACTATAGCTTGGTTTCTCCAAAGTGGTCTCTAGGGAAAACAAATAGAGCTATACATGAGTGATCAATCAAATACTCATTGACTATTCTCAATAGTTGTTGAAAACACATAGTAACAAACATACATCCATTTACAAAATAGCATAGGAACAATACAAACATTATAGAGTTATGGACAGATTGGTAGGAAATCATCAGTGGCTGCTGCAATACATATTGACATCTTCAAAGTGGTTTCTCAGGAAACAAAGATATGCGGGAAAGATCCAACAAGTAGTTACAGCCCAAGGGTTGCAGAAATAGCGGGTTACCTCCTCATCAGTGATTCCCCTCACTGAGGTGTGACGGCTGGAAGGTGGGCCAGGACTGAAAAGAAGGACCGAGAGACCAGCACCAGTGTCCAGCAATGGGCCCTCCACTTTTTCCTCTATAGTCATGATTTCATGGGGCTCCTCCTTGAAGACAGTGGTCCAGCCAGAGGGAGAAGGCAGAGTATGCCCTGGGCCCCTTCATTCCTGCTGGACCAACTGGTAGGAGGGGTCTGAGCCCCGGGGGCCCCTGCTCCAGAGGGCAGCCCGACCTCCAGTGGCCACCCCCACAGTTAGGGCATGGCCCAGGGGGCCGCCCAGGGCAGTCCCTCCCGAAGTGGCCCAGCCCCCGACAGTGGCAGCAGACAAATGCTGTCGACGAGCCCCCGCTGTCGGGGGCTCTATCCTCACATTGGTTACTCTTGCTGCCCATACTTTTGGTAGAATTATTTACTTCCTGGATTTCTATTTGTGCTTTTTTGTGGACTCTAATTCTTTTCTAAACTGGTCATTCATGTTTTATATTATTTTGTTCAGCTCAGGTAGCTTTCTCTCAGTGTCTTCTGTAAGTTCACTTATCATTTTGTTTTTGTGCTCCATGATCTGTTTAGTTATATCATTTCTGAGCTTGCCAAGTACCTTACCAATTTGTTTTCATCTCCTATCACTTCATATAATTCAGCTGTTTAGCATTTGACTTTCTCCCCACAGATGCCCAGTGGGTCATCTCTGGGGGAACTGGAAGTTCTTGTAGTATTTTGTTGCCTTGTTTCCTCATGTTTCTTTCTGCGTGTGTGTGCCCCGCATGCTGAGGGTTAAGGGTTGGTTATATCGTTATTATGTTGTGGCTAATGCTGAGATCTCTTTAGTTAGTGTCTGTTTCCCAGTCATGTACAGTAGGAATAACTAACCATAATCTTTTGCTTCTGTCCCAGGATCCAACCACCTATATCAATTTTGGAGAGGGGAGGGGAGAGTCCAGTGTACTTGGTCCAGCACTTCATTCTCCAGAAATGAATGACAGCATTGTTGATGACCCAAAGACAAACCAGATATTGGCAGACAATGAAATCCAATTAATAGGAAAATGCCAACTTGGCAATATTAACAAAATCATCAAGAATCAAAGACAAATGTGATATTGACACACCACACCATAAGGACCAATAAAAGCTACACTGTGCCACCCTTAACAACAGAAGAGACCTGTGATTATAATATAGACACAAAGGCAAACCAAATATTGACAGTCGGGGGCTGGGGATTTAACTCAGTGGCAAAACACCTGCCTGGCAAGCGCAAGGTAGTGAGTTCGATTTCTGGTACCGGAAGAAAAACAAAAACAAAAACAAAAAAACCCAAAACCAAATATTGACATCTGGTAAATATCTACTAAATGAAACAACTATACCACCATTAACAATAGAAAATAATTGAACAAAAACAGCATAGGATCAACTAACTTAAAGATTAATAAAGCTTAATAGTAATACTAATAAAAATGGAGGGAGTAGGGAAAGGGGAAATGAAAGAAGTAAAATTTGCAAACTAAAGAACAGGAAGACAAGGAGAGCAAAATGAGATAAAGGAGCCTATTAAAGAATAGAAAATTAATAGAATTAGATAAAAGCAACAAAAAAGAACAAGCAAGAAAAAAGATAAAGCAAAATTTAAAAAAAAAAACTCAAAGCAAAAAAACCTATGAAGAAAAAGAGAAGAGAGTCCAAATAATTCCTCGATGCTTTTGAAAGAGTAGTTTCTTTCCAGGGTCTGCAGTATTAGAATCCACCAAATACGAGGGAGGGGCAGCGAGCAACTACAAGAGCTACTTTGTTTTCATGCCCACACTTTGGTCAGAGAGCGTGGACTCCTGCTGTCCTTTTCTGCTGGGTATGGTGGGTCACTGGTGTCACTTGAGAGCTATACTCGCTCCAGCCACTCCTAGTTCCACGTCCCTCCGTGTGTCGCCTGATGGCCTGTTGGTTTGTGGACTGCTTCCTCTGCTCCAGGGACCCTGTCCAGATACCCCAGGTATGGCCGCTGTGCAAGCCTAAGTGTGTGCATCCCTGTGTCTTAGTTACTTCTCACGGCACTGAGGCACAACACCCAGCACCCACAACCTAAGGAGGAAAGGTTCATTTAGCTCACAGTTCCTAGACGTTTCAGACCACAGCTGGCTGTCTCCAAGGCAGGGTGGCATGGTAGAGGAGAAAAAGCTCGTGGAGGGTGGCAGGAAAAGAGAGAGCAAGGGAGGAGAGGAGGGAGAGAGAGACCCCCTTCCAGGCCACCCGCCAGGCTGCACTCCCAACCTCACACCCAGCTATGAGCCCATCCATGGATTCATCCAGTGATGGGCACCAAGATCCCATGATCCAGTCACCTCCCAAAGCCCCACCTATGGGTGCGCGAGGCTTAGAGGGACATCTAGATAGAAGTCACAATACCCGGACCACACTGGCAGAGCGCGAGCAGAGCGCTGAGTTCTGTGGTGGGTGTGGGCGGCGGGGCAGGTGTGTGTCAGCCCCAGCCGCAGCTCCCACCCACACAGCCAGCTGCTGCTCACTGCGGAGGGCGGGAACCCACCGAGCTTAAACTTCTCTAGGGTCTATGTCTCGCCCACGCCCCCTCTCCCACTGCCTCCTGTGGCTGTCTCCCACTCAGTCCCTGTGCCAGGGGGACACCAGTGACCCTGAAGCTGTCATTCTGCAGCTCCTGACAATCAACCTCTTGCCAAAACGGCTGCTGAGTAAACCCTCTCAAACGTGGCCGCTGCCCGGGGTTTTTCTCCAACGCCCTCCTGCCACGCGGAAAGAGTCGCTAACAGAGTAAGGCCCGAGCTGTGCTTGCGGGTTATAACCGCGGGCTTCTCTTGGGCGCCCACTGGAGCCTGGCCGGCAGCTTCTCCTGGGGCTGCCACCCCTGGGGCTCGGCTGCCTGCAGAGGAAGCCTCCCTCCCGGGGAGCAAGTGGAGGTCAGTGCCGCAGACTGCTTCGTTCTCGCCTCTGGGCCAGGCTCAGTTTCTCCAGCTTCTTCGCAGTTTCTACTTTTCCGGTCAGCTTCCTCCTGGTCCTTGCAGATCTACTTCTGTTTTCTCCACCCAGCTGTTTTCTAGGAGTCTTCACTCCAGGCCGCAGAGAGGCTGTATGTGGCTGCTTGTCTTTACTCCACCGTTTAGGGTCTCTGTCGTCCCCTCATTCTAAAAGGCTGACTTCAGACTCCTTGTATCTCACTTTCCCTTTCTCAAGAGTGGCATTTCTTCTTTCCTTTTCTGTGTAGGTGGAGCTGGGAATTCAACCCGAGACCTGAACATGCTGTGTAAGCAGCCCACCACCGAGCTATGGCCTCAGCCCCACTATGTTTACTTGTTTGTTTAAGATTAGCCACATCGGGACGGGATAATGCAGATTAAAAAAGAAGTCATGCGCCCCCTGAATGAGTATTAGGCCCAGCTGTGTGCAGGATTCAAAAGGAGACCACAGAAGGATAAGTAAGACTTCTACTGAAGAAGAGAAGTGCTCCCCAGCCGAGAGAACACCTGCCCTACCTCAGAGTTTTAGCCAGGGTTGGCTGTCTTAAATTTACTCCCAAATGTCAAGCATTTCTTCTAGGCCCTTATATTCATATTATGTCTGAGATGAGAGTTCTTGGAGCAGGCACAAACAAAAAGCTTACAAAGATTTGGAAGGTGTTATGAGCGGGTAAATCTTGTTTGCTATGATAATTGGGAATTCATGAGTTTGGGGAAAGTCCAGGTGCTATGTAAGAGGCATTCAAGTAAAAACAAAATTTAAATATTCTGCAGACGAAACAAAACAGCTGGCTCGGTAAAGTCAATTTATCACATTACTCTTTAATCCTAGAGATTAAAGTAGTTTTTCTTGTATATCAGATATGTAAATAACAGAAAATCAAAAGTAATTCAGAAGATGGTCTAGGTAGAGCATGACTTACCAAAATCCTACATCCTTAGGAGAGGCTATTTCTGCAATTTTAGAGAACCTGTGAATTGAAGAATTCTGGTTTTGATTTCTTGTTTTAATGCTTCAAATCAGCTTTGGGCTGGAAAATATAAAATATTCCTATGGAAATACTTTTGAAAGGATGGAGCTTTTATCCTATAGGTCAAATGTCAATTGCTAAGTCAGATAGATCATGTATGACAGCTCAACCATTTAAGGTATTTTATCAGGATGTAGTGATGTCTCATTTTGTCCCATGTTATTTTCATCTTGAAGGAAGCAGGTATCAGAAGCTGAATTTATCATCTAAAACTTCCAAATGAATTCTTAAAAGTAGAGAACATCTTGTCAGTTTTTACATCTGGAGGAATCTTTTTTAAAAATTTTAAACATTAAAAAACTGACAAAACCAAAATGCAGACAAAAATCAAAACAACACAAAACCAACAAAAATGATACATGACCTCATAACAAAATGATAGGAATTAACCATGGTTGCTACATTACATACTGTTATCTTCAACCAAGTTGCTCAGTCCACCAGACATAAGAATGCAAGATTGATCAAATAATCAAAGACAGTAACAAGTAAAAAACCAACATAACAAAACAAAAAACCAGCACCGGAAATGATGCAGAGCTTCACCATACAGGATGGTAGGAGTTCAACAATGGTTCTCATACTACATATTGTTGTTTTCAGATCAGCCATTCTGATTACCAAATTCAAGTGTGCAAAATTGGTCAAGAAAAAAAAAATTTACGCATTGACTGTTCCCTTTCAATAAACCACAGGCATCAGCAATACACTTATCCCAGCTATTCTTAGAAGTCTGGAGGAATCTTGTGGAGACTTAAAGATACAAAAGCCTCATAGTAATAGAAACATGATATCACTTGTCCTTATTACAGTGATGCACAGAATAACCCTGAAGGCCGATTGCAGCAGCTTGTAGAGTTGTACCTTATAGCCCCCGGGCTAAAGGTTTGATCCCTGGGTAGCACGTTTCAAACCTAACCTGGTGGGAGGTTTTCAGGTCGTTGGCAGATGCCCTTGAGGGACTGTGGGACCCTGATCTCTCAGTCACCTCCATTTTTGGATTGATATATAAATATTTTATTCCACTATGTGTTTCTGTCAAGATACACCACCCTACCCAGAGCAGTGGGGCTACCCAAGCTTGGACTGGAAACTCCAGAAACACATGCCAAAATAAATCTCTTCCGTTCATAAGTTAATTGCCTCATGTCTTTTGTTACAGTAACAGAAAACTAATACACTTTTAGAGGTTCATAATGTTGGTAAGAATGTAGTTTTAAGGTAGAAAATAATTAGATAAAATAATCAGGAACTGTTCTCTCAAGATTTAAATATCAAGGAACCCAAAATCAACAATACTTGTTATTACCTAACTTTGCTTATAAAATCTTCGTAGAACTCTCCTAAACCTTGATAGAATACTGGCAAATGCTAGAGTTCCAGGAAAGACACCTTTTCCAGTGTCCCAGAAACTGTAAATTACATTTCCTTGAAGAACTAAAATGAAGTCACGGGGTGAGGAGATCCTATTTATTAAGGGCTGGCTTCCGTATCTGCTGTTCCGGTGACTGTAGGTTTTCTGCCGAGCCCAAACTTTGGCCAGTGGAAATTACTGGATTATTTCAGTGCAAATGGTATTCGCACATCTTGCCCTGCTGAGTGTTCATAATCAATAGGAAAATGTGAGCCAAACGCAACAAGAGCGATTTCATCTGGAAAGAATGGCGAGGCCGCCATGTAAGCAGAACATGGACTAATAGAGCCACCTAGTGGTGCCCAGATTGCTGCTTGGCCCTTGAAGATGGTAATTTCACTGTTGTATGAACATTGCTGAAAATGTAAGGAGTTAAACACCATAGTAAAGGAACAAAAAGATAAAAACATTTACTGAAAGACTTTTTCTTTCTTTCTTTCCTTTTTTTTTTTTTTGCCTTTTTGAGACAAGGTTTCACTATACAGTTCAGGCTGGCCTTGAGCTCACTTTGCAGCCCAGGCGGGCCTTGAACTCACAGCAATCCTCCTGCCTCAGCCTCCTGAATGCTGGGATTACAGGCATGTGCCACCATGCTTGGCAAGACTTACTCTTTCTAAAGCCATAATCCTGAAGGGAATTTGCAGGCACTCATTTATTTAAAGTTTTTTTCTGGAATCATAAATACAGCACACTGACATATTCCCTCAGTGCTTATCATTT